TTTCTTGTTTAAAAAAAAAAATGCTTTGCTTTCAAAACCCACATTTCTGCAATGAGCTGAGAGTTCTAGTTTGCTTCCCAAAGCACACAGTGGACTCTGATCGGGCTGGGTTATGTCCTGTTTGTCCTTTCCTGGGACAATCTACTTTCAGCCCAAAATGACAGATTTTGATGATCAGGATTTGTAGCAAATAAAAAAAGAGTGCATCAGGTACTATTTAAAACGAAATTATAGCATAGGGCACCTTCTTAGGGTTTAAAGTGCAAATCTGCATTAGACCGTTGGGGACAATGATCATCCCCCGAAATAATGACGAGATTAACAGATTTTTTCTTTCTTCTACATTCGTAGATGTACAGGTTAAATGAATAAAAGGACCTCATCTGAAATTTTGTTTTGTTTTGTTTGTTTGCTTTGTTTTCATAATTTTATTTACTTGAAGTCAAAAAGAGAAGGGATTTATCAGTGGCAGAATCTCACTGTGTTTTTTTAGAAATCATTAACATGTCTCTTGAAACACCTTGGTACTGTTAATAGGACCAATCAAAATTTGCTTAATATTTGTTGATTTTTGTTTTTCATTATGTTTTATTGAGAAAATTTTCTTATTTGAATATATCCTCCCATCTTTAAGATGAATCATTTTTTAAATCCCAGTCATTGTGAATTGCTTCACAAGTTTCAATTCTAAAAAACTACAGAATTTTCTCAAAGATTTTTATAATTCCAAGCTAGATAAATCATAATAATTTGTGTTAATAGCAGAAGCATTGATCTTATAATGTATTCACTGCCCCCCCCCACAAAAAAAAAGCATATAATTGGGTTGAGTTTTTAACCAAAGTAACAAGTGGCTGAAAATAGAGACATTTTTGCTGAAAGGGTAAATTACATGCATACTTGAATTCGCCTTGAAGGTTTGCAAGACATCTAACATGAGGCTAGAGGGGACAGAAGCGATCCTGCTGTGTCACTGGTTTTTCAGGGCAGAAAAATGGTGTCCTGTGGCTCGTAACCGTCCAGGAAGAACCTCGTGAGCTATTGCATACAGATGTCTGAGGCAGCAGCACCCAGACCTTGGAACGCTGCTCTCTCGTGAAATCTTCACACAAGCATTTTAACGTGCCTGAGATTTATGGCTCAGGAATCCAGGGACAGGAATGCATGTCTTATGACTCCGTTACTTATGTAAGACAATACGAAGGATCCTCCGCTGCCATGTGTGTGCAGAAGTGCGTGCTGATCCTTACAAGGCATGGAGAATCGCTTAGTGTTCTCCATTCCTCCAAGGATGCTTGCAACCAGTTCACAAGAGGAAGTGGGCAAAGCTAATAAAAGCTGCAGGCTTGGACTCCAATAGCTCCACGTGGAGTTTCTCCATCTTTTATACATCAGGCCATTTATACTGTTCACGTAGGGGACCCCCATTGTAAGTGTATCCAATGAGCTCTGTCTCTTTATGGATCATTTATTACCTTAAAAAATCAAATGTTCTCTGCTCTTCTATTTTTTACCAGAATCTATATGACAAAGGAATGGCTGAAATCTTCTGTTTTCCATTTCCCCATCTTATCATTTATTCATATTCTAGCTGGAAAAAATTCTCAGTAATTTAGAAATAGTCAGGATGCAAATAACATTGTGGATAGTATCTGAAATCATCAGTGAATACGATACAAAATAGTCTAGCACTGTTGATCCTACGGGGAGAGATACATACAGCTTGCTTGAGACATAAAGGAAATTTATTACTTACATTAATGGTGATTCTCCCCTTTGTTTTAAATATGTTAGATTTCTGGGGTAATGGATTTCAGTGGAGTGTAGGTATCATGAATGAGGTAAGGTCCCCATGGGTAATTTAGGTTCAACACTAAAAAAAGATATCGCACGAGGTGTTGCTTTTGAAATATGACTCGAGTTTAGAGAATGTAGCAGAAGTTGGAGCCAGTGATCTGGGAGTGAAGGCCAGCTAGAGATCTGTCTTTTCTTGAAGGTGCTTGGTACTTAAAATTGGTACCTGGGCAGCCGTCAGTCTCAGAGATTGACAGCCCAAAGAACTGATGGAACAAGCATTCGTGGAGATTGGCATCCCCCGGGAACTGCGAACCCTTCATCTTCATACAGGCAACACAGGCTTTAGAGAGAGGCACCTGTTTTGCTTCTCAAGAACAAAGCTTTGTTTCTGACTTGGTATCCTTTGGACCCAAGGGACCACCAGGAGCTTGCCAGTTGGGATAGCTAATATCTCCTGCAAATCAGCCGCCCAATCAAGGTTTTAAACACGTCTAGTTGTCACCTGCCTCGTTGCGTTCACAGGCTGCTACTTTTGGGAGAGTCACCATCCATACCATAATATCATTTCCAGTCTTGGAGAGGCCCTTCAAAAGCTTATGAAGAGTCAGGCCCGTGTCTTTGCTGGAATCCTCTGGCAAATGTTTCTCCCTATTTAACATCTCAGTCCTTGGTTATATGACTTCCAGGTGAGTGTAGAAGGGACTCATGCTTCTTACTAGGATAGAAGGAGAGGGGACCATTGGAGACTCATTGCGATATTATGTGCATTTACCATTGAGTATTTGGCACTTACTGTCTTTATTGTGTAGATCTAGCAACTTGTGATATCCTCACAACCCATTTGAACCCATTAGGAAACACAGGGGGTGTTTGCTTTATCCCAACCTATTTTTTTCCCATGGTCATTCCCCTGCCTCTGTGGTTTTCCCCCCAGACAGGGGGACTAGAGGATGCATTTTTTCCATATAGACACAAATTTATTGGCACCAAAGATTTCTGGCCCAGATTCCTCAAAACATAAGTCATGCCAGTGCTATTTCTGAAAAATCTGGGATGACATTGACATGTATGAATAACCGAAGCAGCTTGTGTACCTGCAATTATACTTGGATCCCGTTGCCGGGAGCCAACACGGAATTATTTTCTTTTTCATGTTGCATTTATGGGATAATGCCCCTGCTGTGAACATTTTATGTAAAATTTGGAATGGCCGTGGAATGAAGCCAATACCACATTGTGTTTCAGTTCACTGAAAGTGAATAAGCACATTGTAAAAAAAAGTGTGCACTATTAAAGTTTGAATCAAGAATGTGATCATTTCCAGTTTTTACATTTTGGCACTGGACTCTGCAGAAATTTTGCAATTGCTGTTTAAAAAGCGCAGGCATCCTGGACATGATACAGACGTCCACGGCATAATCCCCAACAGCTTGAGAAACCTAAATATTATCAGGCATGTCTCTGGGTGAGAGGGGGCCCTGCGCTCCTTTTCACTGTTTAACACAAGTTCTTGGACTTGGTGGTTGCTCTCCCAGGGCCTGCGTTTGGTAGATCAGATAAACCAAGAGGAGAGTGCAAATCTCCTGTCAGAAAACAATCTCCATTGCTCAGAAAGTGTCAGCACAAAAATTTACACAGAAAGGGTTCGAAAGCGATCATTGGTTACCCAGAGAGGCATCGTTGTTTGGATTAATTTATGTGAATTTTCATCCCCATTTCTGTCTTTATTCTCATAACTTTATAGATAGATACATATATAGTCAAACAGAAGATGTGTAAGCATAGAACAAAATTGACTGCGAACACTCACCTAGATTTGGGAGGTGTTAAAACGTGGCCACATTTGCTTTGTTCTTTCATTTATTTATCAATATCTATCTCTGCCATCTGCCTATTTTCCTCCCTACCATCTATTTCTGTCTGTATCTATTTCTGTCCAACAAATGATGTCCCTCTCTGATTTCTGTCCGTCGTATGACAAATCTCAATTCTGCCGTCTCTCCACGCACACACACATTTCCTACCTCGAGCACACATCCTTTCTCTTTTCTGAACAACTCGAGACTGAGTATCAAGTATCACCTGCACGTTGCCCTGAAGATTTTGGTGCGTAATTCCCAAGAATACAGACTGGCAAAAACCTAGGACAATTACCAAAAATCCAAGAATTCATCCTTGGTAGTGTGGCTATTTAATTCCCAGTCATTTTGGATCTTTCCCTATTTTCTCCTGGTGCAGGACGCAGTCTACAATCAGGAACCGCATTTCACGTTATCTTTAATCCCCTTGGATCTGGAACTGTTCCTCCTTTTCTCTTGTGCTTTTTTATGAACTTGACATTTCTGAAGGTAGCAGGACACTTGTGTTCTTGGATGTCTTTCAACAGAAGCTTTTTTAAAGTGACCCCCCCAATGGTTGCTCTTGATTTATTTGTTTGGGACAGGAATGCCACAAAAAGAGATGGTATATTGTCTTTGGTAGGAAAGTCAGAAAGCCGTGATACCTCTTTCTCCTAACATGGGTGACGTTAAACTTCATCCTTTGGTGAAGCTGAAGTCTCCCAAACTTTCCCCTAGGAAGTTACTAATTTTCCCTTTTCAATTCATAAGTACTAGGTCATATTTATAAGGAATCAGTGGTATATTTTGAGACTACCTATAGATTGTCTGTCAACCTAGTTTTGGTGTTGAGCGGCCCGTGATATCAAGGTGACAGGTACCAAATGGAGACTTTCTGATTCCGTCACTCCATCTACTTTTCTTTGTTGGCTTGGGGGCAAAATTTTAAGAGCCTTTTCAAACTGGCACCTGTGAATTCTCACATCCCCGGCATTTCCTATGTGCTTTCTAACGTAACCTTACCACATTGTATAAAATGTCCAAAGCGAAGATATCGATAAATCCAGAATGAAATTACCTGCCCATTAATTTCTTAAGAGAGTGCATCGGCATACACGGTAATAAATACTTTTGCCAGGCACGGTGGTTGCATATGTGTAATCCCAGTGGGTTTGGAGGATTATTTTGAATGTTTCCAAACATAAGGAAACTACAGAGAAACTTTTCAACAGAAAAGTACATTTAGGGTTTAATCTTCACCTCGGATTACTTAGCTGAAAATGTGAATAATTAGATTATGGTAACATTTTTTATAAGGTTTTGCAATCCTAAGATGTGTTTATATGCATTTTTTTTATTTAAAAGGGGGTTCTCTATCCCATATTGTAAATGAAGACATAATGTGGTGCGGAGGATCGAACCCAGTACCTCACACACGCAAGGCAAGTGCTCTACCACTGAGCTACAGCCCCAGCCCCAGCCATTTCTTATTTCCACACGGTAAGTCATTCTTACTCCATGAGACTCGCCCAGCTTCATAGTGATCTTCCCAACAAGGCCACCTTCCGGAGCACGGCCCATTTCTACTGGGAAATAAATGCTTGAGAAATAAATCCCACTACTGGATTTTTAATTACAACGACTGATAGTGGTTTAAAAAAATAAATCATGAAAGTTTCAGTATTCTCCTTTATCTGAATGTCTCCAGAGGATAGTTGATCTAGATTGTGCTTATTCTATTTCATAAGTCAACAGAAATGTGCATTTTTATCCCCAAAACATAGCAATAGTTCCCTCCCCCAAGTGGCCCTCCTTCTCTGTGGAGGAGATGCTAGAAGGAAAGATGCTTCCTCACAACTCTGTACCCTTCTGACGGAGGTCAACAGACACCGGCCTAGCTACTGCCCCATGAGACCACAGTGCACAACCACAAATTTAAAAATGGCGGACATTCCCATAGGCTATCCACTCATGCAACAGAGACCTAGGAAGTACAGATGCCCCCAAGTGTACTTTGTGGCCACCTATGGTGGGTTCAGCCTGCTGAGAAGGTTCCAGAAAGAGTCTGAGGCTCAGCTATTCTCTTGCATTCTGGGACTGGCACCGAATGAGAGGTCTAGAAGCTTCACTGGATTCTACTTGGTCCACTGAAGTCCCAGTGTTTGTTGAAGACATTGTAGCTGAGCAGGGGACACACACACACACACACACACACACACACACACTCATACAGAGCCAGAAGGTAACCAGGGAAGTGACAGAAATGCAGTTCCAAAAATGGTAATTGAACATTAAAACAAAAGTCATCTGCAATAAGACATCTTTATGAGCTATTTATGGCTTATCTAAATTCCCATTTCCTGAAAGATAGACCAAAGAAACGTTTAATGAACCCTTTTATATCAGGCTGAACGGGCATTTATAACCCAGGACCGTGGTGTACTCCACAATGAAGTAGACCCTGTGGTTTGTGAGGAAAAGTGTGTCTGTAAGTGCTGTGCATGGCCCGTGGTTGAATCAGAGACCCGACCTGCACCTTCTCTTCCTTCCTTCACTAGGGAAAACACACGAGGAATTGGAAGGCTGCCTCCCCTTCAAAACCAGCTAAGGTAGACTTGGTAAGCCGGAAGAATCACCAGAGACCCACCCGGTTTCCATTTTTCTCTTCGAAGAGGCTACCATCTGAAAACGCTCTCAGTATTTAAAGGGAAAAAGTGACTGTTCCTCTGTCTGTTTTCTGATAGCACACTGGATTTAACCTCTATTACAATATGTGCTATATAATTTTTTTTCCTTTGGTAAGAGGGGTTGAATCCAGGGACCCTTAAACACTGAGCCACATTCCAGCAATTTTAATTTTTTTTTTTTTTGCTTTGAGACAGACCTTACCATGTTGCTTAGGACATCACTATGTTGCTGAGGCTAGGCTCCAACTTGCAATCCTCCTGCCTCAGCCTCCTGAGCTGCTGGGATTACAGGTGTGCACCACATGTGCTATATTTTCCCACAATAATAATATGATATAATATAATGTTCACAATAAGGGTACAGCAAATGCATTGGTTACCTGTGGCTATGGAGCAAATCATCCCCAAATGCAGTGACTCAAGAGGATGACATTGGTGACCTTGCAGCTTCTGAGGTCAGGAATTCTGGCACGGTTCCATGGGGTCCTCTGGCTTAGGGCTTCTCTTGAGTTTGGAGCCAGCTGGGACCTCAGTCACCTGGATCCTAGACTGTGCCCATCCAAGGTCGCGCATGTGCTTGTTGGCAGGGTGGTCTCTTAGGGGCCGCGGGAGTGAGAACCTCGGGTCTTTGTGGCCATCTACTTTAGTTCCCAGACAGGTGAGAAGAACCAGAAGTAGAGAACCGGCCAACGGGTGCAGCCTGATCTCAGAGGTGCCTCCTAATGCTGTATAGTGCTGTGCCCCCGGGAAGCAACTCTCTACTTTGGATGGGCACACTCTCAGCAGGACCCGGAGGCGGGAAGCAGGCATTATTGGGAGTCATCTCAGAAGGCTGTTTGACAACAGCATACTGGGACAAACACAACTCATCACATAGCCAAGACCAAAGGGGATTGTTTTATTTCCAGAGAGAATAACTCCCAATGGACCCCACTGGAAGAATTGTAATTGTCTTTTAAGCAGAATTGCACTATCTATAAGGCACGTGTACTTCTTGCAAGATTTTTTTTTTTTTAATGTACTAGAACTTCCTCAGAGCCCTGGGCATTATTCACATTAAATGAGCTCTGTGTTTATTTTATTGGTTGTCACTATTGAGCTACTGAGAGGCCAAAAGTGTGAAAAAGTTGGCACGATCAACTGACCTTCAGCTCTGAGAACTTCAAAGCTGAATAAAGGGAACAAAATGTGCCTATGTGTGTATATACAGCACGTAACATGGAAAGGTCTAGTTTTATTGTTCTAACAGCATTGCACAATCGGAACCTTATTTTCTACTGTGTGAAGAAGCAACTTCTGTTGAAGGACACAGAATATTAGATTGCAAAGTTTTAAAATATCTTCCCTTGAGTTTTTTTCTTGGAAGATGAGCCTAGATACCCAATGCTAATGAAGAAAGAATCGAGGCCTTTAAAATCCACTTTAGAATATTCTGATTTTTTTTTTGTCATGATACAGAGACAAGAGGCTCATTTTATCATCTATACTTATGAGCCACTGATGTATGCAGGACTCTGCTATACATTATTAAATTTCATTTTAAGTGGAAAATGTTAATATTTTAACTCAAGAGTTTAAATGCTATTAATAATAATGCTATCGTTCTACTTTCTAAAGGGAAAACTTTTCAAGTTCAATTTGAGTCTTCTCCACTTTTGTTTCTGCATACTCTCTAGGAAGTATAGTCCAGGGGCATGCATTAGCCTAAAGGTGAGATGACGTATCCCACTCAAAAGTGTTCAGGGATTTATATGCATGCACCTTCCTGATCCGTGAGGAACTCGTGGCAATTAAAACACGGGTCAGGTGGAACTCTGAAGGTTGAAAGCATACGAGCCCTCGACCACTGAGCCCCGTCCCCAGCCCTATTTTGTATTTTATTTAGAGACAGGATCTCCCTGAGATGCTTAGTACCTGGCTTTTGCTGAGGCTGGCTTTGAACTTGCAATCCTCCTGCCTCAGCCTCCCGAGCTGCTGGTATTACAGGCATGCGCCACCACGCCCAGCCATTTTTTATTTATTTTATTTTTTTACTTTGAAATAGCATCTTGCTAAATCACCCAGGCTAGCCTCGGATCTGTGATCCCACCACCTCCACCTCCTGTGTATTTTTTTCTTTAATTCATGAATACAAGATAGAAGTTCCAAGCCAGTTATTGAAAACTCACATGCATACCAGGAAGCAGTTGCTATGTTTGTCCCCTACAATTCCACACCACCTGGTGTCTGTTAACTCTATTATTGCCTTGAAACTATCTCTGCCTGTCTCCGGGGTCGTTGGATTCCTAGGGGAACACAGCATCCTTATGCCCCCATAGCACACACCACACCCAGATCTCTAGAGGAACTGGGGTGATATTTGAATCCACAACGTGGACATTTTCTAGTGTTGGCATTAATATTGGAAGAGCATTCTGCAACTTGACAAAGTGTACAGTTCAGTTTCCTCTTGACTAATTGGGTGTTTCCAGTTTCAATGACGGAAAATCACTCCATTTACCGTAAATGCAAGAATACGTGAATCTAAGAAACCTGTGTGTTCTCCTTCAAGACAACAACTTGCTGAAGAGATATGCTACTGGAGTCACTGATAGGGACCTCACCAAAAGAACAGGGACCCAAATAGAGCTAGAATCATGGATACAAGCAATGCTGAGAGACAGCTCTAATCAACATTACACTAGTCATCCTTAGCCACTGGGGATGCATTCCTACACGGTAGCAGATGCCTGAAACCTCAGATAGTACCAAACCCCACATATGCCCTGTTTTTTGTTTCCTATCTCAACCTGTAATAAAATTTAATTTATAAATTAGGCCTAGTAAGAAAGTAACAACAATAACTTACCATAAATTTTAGCAAGTTCAGCATGAGATTTTTCCTTTCCTATTAAAGATCTTCCACTTTTTCACTAAGCAGATTTTTTGTAGTCATAGCCAATAGTTATCACCACTATTCTTGCACTTTGGGGGCATTATTAAGTAAAATAAGGGTTACTTGAACACAGCTGTTGTGATGCCCTGGTAGTCGGTAACTGAGAGGGCTACTAAGTGACTAACGGGCAGGTAGTATATACAGTGTGGATACACTGGACAAAATTATGATTCACATCCAGGTCAGGACAAAGTGGGGCAGCATGAACTTTCATCGTGCTACTCAAAATGACATGCAATTCAAAACTTGTGAATTGTTTCTTTATGAAAGTCTCCTTTTAATATTTTAGACTTTGGTTGATGCAGGTAGCTGAAATTGTGGAAAGCAAAACCACTGATAAGAAAGACTGCTACATCCGGGTGCTCTATCTTTACAATTTTGGTATTTTTTTTCTACTTCTTCTCCCTCTTTTCTTTGTTACATTTTATCTTCTGCCTCCACCACCAGGTGAGACTCCCTGCTTTTGCTGAATGTTTGCAAAACACTGGTGAGGACCTCATGCATAAGACACCACCTGCGTCAACTCTCCCGGTAGGGGACTGTGGGCCATGATGCTTTCCTCAGAATAGGATGTGGTTTTATGCAGGCCCTTGGAGTTCAGACAAAAATCATTATTTTATTGGAACTGCTATGCTTTGAGCCAAATTACTTTCAGGCACATTGTGGTTAATTCTTCCACTACGCATCAGTTGCTGCAATAATGCCGAGCAAAAGAAATCAATCAAAAACCTAGCTCTTGACAACAGCAGACACAGGACAGCTTGTGGGCCTGCAGGTGAGCTCCAGGCTCTGGTAGGGATCCATCTGTGGTCCCTATGAAGCCCATTCTGTTTTCTCCTGACTCCCTGGGACATGCTCCCCTAGTGGCAGGTCCCAGGAATACACCTCATCAACACAGTAGGGGTGCATACAGCTCCCTGCCCAGGGAATGACATTGCAAAGCCATCAGAGTGCTTAGGGATGTAATCCCAGACCTGAGAAGGCAGCGGAATTGGGAATCCTCCCGTCTTCCGTGCCTGGTTACTTAACATGGTTATTCGTAAACATTTAGATACTCTGGAACATATTTATCCATTGCTTTATTCCCTCCAGGTGTATTAGGGGCATAACAAAAAGAGAAAACAAGAGAAAGACAGTTAAACTGAATCACATTGGGGAAAATTAAAACTTTTTTTTCCTGATTTTATAGTGATACTTTCTGTTTTTCAGATAAAAATAATTATAATAACTGCTTACATGCACATATGTCCAGTGTGTATACTGACAAATATTCTGTAACAAATGATGCACCATGATCACAACTATGTAGCATTTAAAGAGAGTTGGTTCAGGGTCAGATTTCCTCCACCACCAAATAGGGAAGCACTCAGTGGAAAGGCAGATTGCTTTAGACGTGCACACGCCACATCCACATGACCTCAAAGAGCAAGACGAATTATTTTGGCTAGTTTCTCGTGGAATCAGGGGAGTCCAAGGAAGAACTTAGCTGCAGTCCACTCTGACACTAAGGGAATGCATGCCCTCCGAGGTCATTCTTGATTAAGAACCCCCGAGTAACCTCGGATATGCCAGATGACTCCGTGAGCCCAGAGAGATGTGGGTGATTTACAATAGAAGCGCTCTTGTTATTCTAAATACCATTTGAGAAAGACCAGGGAGGGGATGTGGGCTTCATCTCTGAAGGCAACTCAAGTATTACGGGACTCGGGATCAGTGTGAACTAATCGCATGCATGAGGCACAGGGATAATGTACTCATCCTGTAACACACCACCCCTGGCCGGTGACAGCAGGAACCCTAAGCCTTACTTCAGACGTTTAGAAAGGATTGCATTCTGGGAACCGCCCAATTCCTATCAGTTTGACAGCTACAAGAGGTACCACCGACTGACCTCTGCCTCTCCACCTCAGCTGCGTCTGGTCAGAAAGGATTGCAGCTGTGATGCTTACTTGCTGGGTTTCGGTTGGATTGTCTTTCCCCAAAACCAGCAAATAAATGCACGTAGACCCACCCAGACTAAATCGTACCATGCACGGAGCAAGTCAAACTCAGTACTGATTAGGACAGTCCCAACTTGGATTTCTGCGTTATTGAAGAAGGAGATACTGGTCTGTAATAAAATGAGCTCCTCTCAATAGACCCAACTTGAAGGAGAAGGGTCCTGACAGCTGTTGGTCTTTGCTTTGAGGCATGCAAACCAACACTGGGGGTGGCCCACTTTGCAGAGGAATATTGAACAGACTGGGCAAAGCCTTTTGTGGTTCCACGCATGACCAAGCTGGACGGCCCATGATCTTCTTCAAGATTAACAGACTGAACTCTGAATCTGAATAAAAATTTTAACTTCCGAACATGGTCAAGACTCACCAAAGACTCCTATGAGACCATTCCAGATCTTTCCTCAGTGTTCAAATTAAATAACAGAGTTACCAGGCCAAAACATAAGCCTATATGGGATCTAAAATGTCCAGACTTTACAAAACACTGTAATGAACAAAAAGCCTACAGCAGCAATACAAAATGACTTAAAAAAAAACAAAACAGTACATTTGTTAGCTGGGCATGGTGGTACACACCTGTTTTTCCAGCTATGCTAGAGTCTGGGTGGGGAAGATCTTGAGCCCAGAAACTTGAAACCAAGTGCTAAACTCATATTTAGACCCCCATCTCAAAAAATATTTTTTTAAAAAACATGAAAATTAAATCCTAATTATTTGTAAATTATTTTATTTGCAAATTAGAGAAAAACATTGCATTGGACAAAACCCTGTCAATAAGGGGAATTATCACAGAAATATCAATTATCTAAGATTGATAATTGAAATTATCTAGTATTTCTAGCAATTATCTAGCACTGAAAAGTTGATTTTTTGTGTGTCAAAACCCTCAACAAAGATGTCCATATACAAGTTTGCATTATTCCAGAAAAAAAAATCTGGGTGAAATATATCATCTATATAAGAAGTTAGAAAATATACACTTAAAATAGCAAAAAATGTTTTTAAGAAAAGAATAAAGATGTAAAGTGGAAATCATTGTATCTGTAGTCAGAGATACAGAATGGCTAGTGCATGGTTTGGACTTGGAATGTGCTCCAAAGTCAGTTGAAAGCATTCTCTGTATGGCAACCAAGTTCAGAGGTGGGGCTTTTTGGCCATTATAACATCTCAAGGGCTGTGAGTTTATCAGTGGATCCATCTATTGATGGCTGAATGGACTCCTTGGGAAATGGGACCTGGCCGGAGGAAGTAGGTCACTGGGCTATGCCCTGGAAGGATTTATCTTCTCAATCTCTTCCTCTCTCAAAGCTTTCCAGCTCCCTTGAGCTGAGCTGGTCTCCTCCTCCAGGCCCTGCCGCCATCTTGTTCTGCCTCCCCTTGGGCCAGAGCCATGGAGTCGGCCAACCATGGACTGAACCTCTGAAACCATGAACCCCCAATAAAATCAAATCTTTCCTCCTCCAAGTTGGTCTTGTCTGACATTTTGGTCACAGCACTACAAAACTAACACAAGTCGTAAAGATGAACACCCACGTATATAAACACAGACTCCTATACCTTCTACT